CAAACTCGAAGTCAAATACAAACTATCATCTCCACCTTACATAAATTTGAAATAACTTAAGATAATATGAACACCAGCCAAGTCTAGATTTCTCCTTGCCATCGTCAATAATGGCATCTTCATCTACTAAGACGTATCTCATTATTTAACTATTTGATGTATCTCATTATTTAACTATTTAACTCAATGAATTCATAGTTTTACATGTAAAACTAGTTTTGTCAATCAGATCATTACGTTATGATATTCATGATATCGTTTGAGAACACCTCACTATAAGACAGTTATACGTATTATTCCACATTAGCATGTTCCTAAATAATGCACTCATAAAAACTCAACTTGTAAAGAGAAGTAAAAGTTATAGAATATCAACGTAGTTCAAATTTTTTGCTGATCACATTGACCAATAATGTAATTCACTTTTATTTATGAAAACACCTTATATGCATCCGCTAACTACTACACGTTTTCCTTTTTCTCAAATTACAAATTTATTACCTGTATCTTTATATTATGATAATAACCCTGCTATTCAAATTGCTAACAACCCTGTGTTTCATGAACGCCTTATACACATTGAGATAGGTATTCATCAAATCAGAGAAAATATCAGTAGAGGGTTGTTAAAAATTGTTAAAATTTTATCTTCTAAACAACCGGCTGATATCTTTACTAAAGCCCTTGCTATTAATCATCATAACTACTTATGTTCAAAATTACGAATGATTGATTTATTCAAAAGTCAAGATTGAGGAACGGTGTTAAAAACAGTTAAATTCTTTACAATCGTAACTTTTATATTTCTTTTATTTGTAAGGGATTGATCTTGTCAAAAGGTGAAAGATGTTGTTTAAAGTACAAGGAGTGCGCCTCATACTTTGGAAAAAAAGAAGGGTAGCAGAGCAAGAAGTTCAATTCTTAAAGGACCATTTCTGTCAATTTTAAATTCATATATAAAGAGTTCTTAACCGGATCTCATTTCATAATTTCATTTTTTTCATTCTTTGATATTCTTACTTTCTAGAGTTTACGACTCTTTAGCTGTTCATAGTTTCTTATTGATTAGATCTAAGGTTTCTTAACTCTATATTGTTTAGATCTAAGATTTTCATTGTATTTGTAACATTTTCTATTCTGTAATAGTTGCAATACATTTGGTTTATCATTCGAACATTTTTTCAATCACATTATTACGTTCCTCACTATAAGACAATTATACGTATTATTCAACATTAGCATGTTCCTAAATAATGCACTCATAAAAACGCAACTTATAAAGATAAGTAAAAGTTATAGAATATCAACGTAGTTCAAAAAAAAATTTGATGACATTGACCAATAATGTAATTCACTTTTATTTATGAAAACACCATATATGCATCCGCTAACTACTAACATGTTTTCCTTTCTCAAATTACAATTTATCAAAAATTAAATAAAATTTAAGATTGTTTGGTAAAAAGTTCATGAAGCATATGAAGACATGTTTACGATCGGAAAGAACGTAGAAAGGGACAAATATCGAAAATGAACATAAACTAACGGTTGATTTTACAAAAATAAGCTTTAACACACATTCGTCTAATTATCATCCATGATTTATATGATTTATCGACAGTTTTGATGTTTGTGATCCATGATCCAAGTCTCCCATAAACCCCTTTTAAAAATCAAACAAGATCCAAAACGAAAATTATTAATTCAAACTTGACGGTTGTATGATAACATGAAATGAGAATCAATAGTGTTGATACGATGAAATTACCTAATACTGAGTTCCGATTGTGAGTCAACATTCTCATTCTAATTCCAGGTATTCATATTATCATTCTTGTACTTATTTTTATTTTCAAGTTTAAGGTATCAACAAATATCTAAACTGTATGTCTATTAAGTTTTTTATCCCTTAATCAATACCAGACACATTATTATTTTTAATTTATATTGAAAATATAAATCTATACTATATTATAAAAGCATTTGACAAAAACTCTTAAAAACCATTTTTTTGCATGAAGTATTGTTTTTTGATGCATATTACTTAAAAATCAAGATTACAAGTAAATTTTGCGTAAGTACAACTTATTAAAGCTTCATGTTTGAATTTGTGTAACTAATTGCAGATAAACATCTCATTTTAAATATAAAAAATTTAAAATATATTTAGGATAATCATTGAGTTCTAACAAAATACTTAATTATTACCGTTATAAAAAATTATATTCTTAAACAAAAAAATGAATTAAAGAAATACACAAAAAAAAAAAAATTTAAAGTCATTTTGGTACTAATATCAATATTTTTTTTCAAATTTTTTATAATATTGACCGAGACAAAAAAAACGAAACATTAAAATCGAGATGCACCTCGCTGCATTATATAAGTACCCTTCTAATAATATATAATAGATAAAGTAATATTGCATTATATAAATACCCTTCTAGCAATATATAATAGATAAAGTAATATTGCATCAAAAACCGAGTAGTAAGGCAAGAAAAAGACTTGAAATTAAGTAGAAATAATTTTGATCAACCAAATGCCTTTGAATACATGTGATAGATGCAAGTAGGAATGTGTCAAAACCGCATGCGAGTGAGACGAAGAAAAACAAGTACCGTACGGAAAACGAGACAAGATCAATATTCTTGAGTTGTTTTTAAAGTATGTTTTGGGTTTACTTGTATCCCAAAACTCAATTTTGAACATTTCAATCTTTTTTCTAATATTCAATTATGGGTTTTTTTTTTTCTTTTACAAATATTAGAGTAAACTTCAATTTTGGTCCTTGTGGTTTACCGATATTGGAAAAATCGTCTTTTTCTTTCAATAGGTAGAAAACAAGTTATCATAGTATGTATTTTGTTCTGAGAATTGGTGTCTGTATTAACTTCGTATGATTAAGTGTTCTTCTTTGGCACCTTTTGCAGCCTTCCCTCCCCTCCCCGACCATGGAGGTTTGGTTTGTCCATCGACAATTGAAACCCAACCATTGAGTATTTCAGTTGAATATGGATGTTGAACGATGGTGATTTCACCGGAAGATAGGGTTACAGACTTACAGGTTTGGAGAAGAGAATGACAGAGATGGTTGTAAAATTTAAAATTATATAAATAAATAAATATTTTTTATTTTTTAAGACAAAGGTAAGAAAATGGTTATTTAAGTTTACTTTAAATATTATATTATTCTCGGTTGGCATGCTTTAACATTGTCATGTATGTATTCTAGATATTCAAATAAATAATTAATCTTTTTCTAAAAATTATATGTTAATAAAAATATTGTATCTTTGATATTCAAAAAAGGTTATATTAAATAAATTACACATTAATTTTAAGTATTCATTATATGTTTTTTGTGTACATTTTTGTATTATAAATAGCGTTATGTATTTTTTTTATTATGATTAAATACAAATGTATTTGACAATATTATTTCATTTAAAAAAAACTAGATTAGTTAAATCAAAATCAAACCTACAATTTATGGATTTTAATTTATTTTAAGCTAAATATTTTCCATGTACCATTTTCGTATCCAGAATATATTTTATTTAAAAAAATATTAAATGGTTGAATTGAAAAGATAAAATAAAAACGCTTAACATAAATCTATACTATATTATAAAATATTTGATAAAAACTCTTAAAAACTATTTTTATGCATAAAGCATTGTTTATTGATTCATATTATTTATAAGTCAAGATTACAAGTAATTTTGCGTAAATACAACTTATTAAAACTCTATTTTTAAATTCATGTAACTAACTGCGGATAAATATAATCAAATACAGAATAAACATTCATTTTAAATATAGAAAATCTAAAATATAATTAAGATAATAATTGAGTTCTAACAAAATATTTAATTATTATCTTTATAAAAAATATATTATTAAACCAAAAATAAATTACTTTGTTATTAAATTTAAATTAAAAAAATGAATTGAAGAAGTTACACCAAAAAAATGAGAACTATTAAATAGTTAATTTGATATTAATATCGATTTATTTTTTTCAAAATTTTATGCTATATTCAAATTTATATTTCATTCAAAACAAAACATTATCGCTTTCTCAAAACCACGTAAAATCGTATTATATCGATAGAGACAAAAAATAAAAACTAAATATTAAAATAGAGATTTATCTCGTTGCATTGCACAAGTACCCTTCTAGTATTGTTAAAAGACTTTAACGATTTACGTAAAGAGAAGATTAAAATTGGGTTAATATAATTCAATTAATATGCTTATAATAATACAAGTGTACAAAATTCATACCATTTTAATAAGTTGTTAGAAACTTCTTAAAATAAATCGTATTAGTTATATTATAGGACATTATATTAATAAGTCATTATCATATAAACACAAATGATACATAAAAATATAAGTTTAAAAGACATTTCTCAAAAGTATATTATAAATATACTAATATGCATGATAGTAATCATAAGGGTGGTGTCTGATTGTTTTAAGCTTGACTCTAAAGATGAAAAGTGTCTGAAGGTCACATATTCAAATCAAAAAAGGAACAAAAATCTTCTTTGTGTACATGAAAATTCAAATCCACTTTGTTTTAAAAATATTATATATAAAAAACTTGTTAAACCTATTATATGATGAGACGTTTTTAGGTTTGGTTCTATAAATTCAAGTACCGTAAAATATTTTATATAAAATATTCAGAGATTTTAAATATCTTATAAACCCAAATTTGGTATTTATTTAATTATTTTATGTGATTATTCTAAAAGTAGGCGTATTTGAAGGTTTTTTTAAAACATTTAGTAATAGAAAGGAGTCCAAATATTCAAAGCCTTATACTCGTAGTATATTTAACTTTCTCAGAGGTCCAGATATTCAAGATTCAAATTTGTTTGTATTCGTTCTTTTAATCTATAAATACCAACAACTGCTTCAACACCTTAAAAATTAAACAACACACAAACTATAAACTCTGACTCAGTTTTCCTTCAATATATTCTTCCATGCAACGTTCAATTTCCTCAACCAACAATGTCTACCGCAATCTCCTCCACTACCACAAACCACCGACTTCCGCCACCCTCACACGGCAGCAAACACCCTGTGACGTTTTCATCAACCACCGTGGGATCGACACAAAGAAGAATGTCGCCGGACTTTTGTATGGTCATCTTATGAGGTTGAATTTAAACCCTTTTCTGGATAGCAAGAATATGAAACCGGGGGATAAATTGTTCGATAAAATCAACACTGCGATCGGTGGATGTAAAGTCGGGGTTGCGGTTTTTTCTCCCCGGTATTGTCAATCGTATTTTTGCTTACATGAATTGGCTCGTATTATGGAGGCTAAGAAGAGGGTTATACCAGTTTTTTGTGACGTTAAACCATCCGAGCTTTTCGTTAAGAACCACTGGAGGTCCCCTAAACATGATATAGATAGGTTCCAATCGGCTCTAGATGCGGCTAAGTACACGGTTGGACTAACTTTCGATTCGTCAAGAGGGTAAGTACTAAACCCATGTTTGGCGACCATAAAATATCTTATTTTTTGAGTTTACTAAAAATATCTCATTTAATATATCGTAAAGCTAGGTTTTTGAAACGCTATTTCAAATAATAAATTAATAAGATTCAAGGTTTTTTTTTCATCATGTACCTTATGTTTTCCTAAGTTAATTTTTCAGCTAGTTTTTATACCCACCACAACTAATTTCACAATTCATTTCAAATGCAATCCATCATATTTGTACAACCAATATAACTCAACTGATTGAAAATGCTAAAAGTTCATTTATTATGATTTAAATATTTATGGAAGATGAACAGAGTTCATTAATTATGTTCAATATATACTTTATATTAGAAAACAATCTAAAATTTTATGAAATCACATATTCATTCAATTAAATGTACGGTTGATATTGAATTGTATTGGTTATACAAATGTAAAAAGGTTATATAATAACTCACCTCTTTATGTATATATGTGTATATATATAAAGTTTTGCAAAATGCTTTCTGGTTCATATATGATACATAAATATTGACGTTATCGTTTGATATATATATTTGCAGGGATTGGCCGGAATTTTTGATGACGGCGACCGAAGCAATTATCGAGAACCTGATAGAGGTGGAAGAAGAAGAAGAGGAGGAGGAGGAGCAAAAATTAATCGTCTAATTTAACTGATGAATGCAAATATATATTCACAAAACCAATTAACCATTCATAAAATTAAATTTATAATATAAATAATAATTAATCAATTCATTTAATTAATTATTAACTCATTAATTAATTTGTACATCCACGTATATAAAATCTTCATTTCAACATTGAAAAGTCAAAGTCTTGATTTGATTTTATTTTACATCTTCTTCTTTGATTCAAATATTGTTTAATAAGACTGCAAAGATGCAATTTTTTTTACTTTCATGTAATATCTTGGATGATGAATAAAAATATTGAAAGCGTTTGAGTTTTGATTTATTCCATTTTTATTTATTTTGAAGTAGTAGAAAATGGTTAATTTGTCTGAAAATTCATTAAAAATGAGGCATTTATATATGTGTTGGAAGTCTAGTTCATGATTTGGTTTAAATTATCCTTCTCTAGAAATTGATGACCAAATTCATTTCTAGAAGGCCAATTATGTTTATGTAAAAGAAGAGGGGGTATGAAATACATGCTGTGAATGAAAAAAAGAAGGTGGTATAAAATGTGAATATATGGTATGTGAGTGAAAAGATTATGAATAATAATACTTTTTTAGATATCATATACAACCCATAAATTGTTTGTATCTATCAAGAATACAACAAAATCAAGTTTAAAGGAAACCAAAATGTAAAAAATGAGATGTTTATTCTTTTGTTTATCCTTGTAATATTTAATTTTAAGTAATATGTATCAATAAACAGTATTTCATGCATAAAAATTGGGTTTTAAGAGTTTGTCAAATGATTTATAATATAATATAGATATAGATAGATAATGATCGTTTTAAATAAGAAGATTAAAGATCATGAGAATGTATAATTGAAGATTATGGGAAAGTTTACATGTGAATTATTGAAAGAACACAAAACAATCTATTTAAATATTCATATATGAACCAATTTTACATCTTATTTTAAATATAATCGAAAGGATTAACATCTTATTTTAAATATAAAAAAATTAAAATATAATAAGGATAATCATTACATTATAACAAAATACTTAATTATTATCTTTATAAAAAAATATTAAACAAAAAATAAAAAAATGAATTAAAAAAATACTTAAAAACAAAATTTTAAATAGTTAATTTGATACTAATATCAATTTTTTTATACTAATATATATATATATATATTAAAATCTTTATGATATTTTCAAATTTATATATATATTCAAAAATAAAAACAATCGTTTTCTCAAAACCACATAAAACTGCATTATAACATCGATAGAGACATATAATAAACGAGATGTATCTTGATGTATTATATGAGTACCCTTCTAATATATAAAAAATACAAACATACACACACAGAGAAAGAGAGAGGGGTTCTCTTAGGAGCCTCAAAGAACCCTAGGAATGATATCTATCATCCACCTTCTTTTGATTGACCGCCTCTAATCAAATATCGGACATTTTGGTTTTTTTTAAACTTGATTTTGTTATAGAGAACTTCATATTTGATAAATATGTGTCAATAAATAGTATTTCATACATAAAAAATGGTTTTTATGAATTTTTGTTGAATGTTTTATAATATTGTATAAATATAGATCGATAAAGACCATTTCAGATAAGAAGATTAAAGATCATGAGAATGTAGAAATTAAAGATTATGGGAAAGTTGCTCTGTCCTGTGTCCTCTCAACTCTCTCTATCAAACATCTCATCTTTCTAACAAACATCATATCAATACATGATACACACTGTGATACGCATCATAAAATAATGAAAAAACACAGTGTGATACACTTGATAAAGAATACATTATCTGATATATTGTATTACACTTCATAAAACAACAAAAATATATTGTAATACACTTCATATAACGACAAAAATACATTGTGATACACACTATGATACCAGATATGGTTGATGAATACAACTGTGATACCACTATGTTACCACTGTACCCAATAAGTTTTAACAATAAAAAATTATATATTTATTTTCACAATTGTAACTTCATAGAAAGAAATTTTCATAATTTGTTTGATTAATAAGGAAACAATATCAATCTCTTAACCCTTATGAAAAATATTAATAAAATTACTAATACACATGTTTTCTTAATTAAGATAATACAATTAATATAATAAAATGATTGACTCATATTGTATCTCATAATTATCATAAACTAATTAGTTCTCATTTAATTAGCCTCTACATACATATACATATATATACATATATGCATATACATATACATATATACATATATATATATATACATATATACATATATAGGGGCAGGTTCAAATGAAAACCATGTCATTCTAAAAAACCGTGTAAACCAAAATCGACCAATAGAAAAATTCCATTCTTTTTTAATTAAAATTAATCAATAAGGTTATTTTGGTCATTTTTATTATTTTTTTGATAAATAAGGAAGTTATTAAGGAATATTAAATAAAGAAATTTAATAATGGAAATTATATAAATGGAAAATTTTAAATATTTTAATATATTATAATATTAAAAATTGATTTTATTTTTTTTGTTATTCAATGAATCTGAAAATTTTTATGAAGATATATCTTGTTATGGAATGAATTCTTGATTTGAGGTTTGAAGAAAAAAAAAATAAAGAATCATGAATCTGTTTCATATTTTACATTTTAATGAAATAAGTGCTTTGTTTTTGAAGTTTCATGGTGATCCATGGTRATTGTTATACATGTTGCTTTGTGATTTAATGTACATCTAGTTTCATGGTGATCCATGTTTCTTTGTCTGTGAAGTTGATCCGTTTAATTGGTAGGATGAAACCGGTGCATAATATATTAATGTTCATATGAAAAGATTTCATTTATGATGAAGCGGATGCATAATATATTAATATGCATAATGAAAAGGTTTCATTAGGATGAAACCGGTGCATAATATATTAATGTTCATTTGAAAAGGTTTCATT